AGAGGTGTTTGCTTATACAATGAGATCAGAACAGGTTAGGCACTATGTCTGTGAGGTGCTGAAGAGAAACGACATGTCTTTCTGCCCCATAGAAACTGAACATGTGAATGATGTACCTGAATAGATTTCTGATTGCCTATTTGGAGTTTAGGCTGAGTCCAACAAAACCAAGACTTCTAGAAAAGGCCAAAAGAAGTCAGTGAACTGGCAGGTGAGCTGCTTAGGCTGGTACACGTAACCACCAATGTTATTTAACTCCACAGAATGAAGGTATCTCTGAGCTCTGCATCTTTGGGTGATAGCACCAGATCTCATGTAGTGTCCTGAGTATGACAGGAAGAATTTCTGTTCTGAGCTCTTATAAGGGCAACTGAATGTCTCTGTGGTGGTGCTGAAACCCAATTCTAGGCACCAAATCCAAAGCTTTAAGCATTTTAAAAACATTTCTTAGGGCTGAGTCTGTACTAGGGCAGAATGCTTGGCTGGCCTGTGCAGGTTCTAGGTTCAATCCCCATTACAAAACATAACAGCATGGGACACACATCTGTAACCCTAGCTTTGCAGGAATCTCAGGCAGATTCAAGAGCAGCCAAGGTTACAATAGTTTGAGGTCAAGCTTAGCAAGACCCTGTCTCCAACCAATAGGACTGAGAGTATAACTCAGCATTAGAGGATTTGCCCAATACGTGTAAGGCCCTTGGTTCAATCCTTACCACCAGATAAAATAAAAGCAAACCAAAAATAAACAAAAATAAACCCATTTTTTTCCTTTTCTCCAGGTCTTTTGGAGTCAGAGAGTATGTCTGAAAGTTTAACTGGCAGATTCTGTCTGAGCTAAGTTGCAGATTGGATTATTTTATATGAAAGAAATTCATCTTAACCTCAGACAAAAAAATATCTCTTGTCCCATCCCTGAAGTGCTGTAGTGTTAACTCTGCCAAGGGAAACATGGTATAAGGAAAGTGGCTTGGGAGAGAAGAATGCTTCTTATTCTCCCCCTTTACTGCTTGCTGTAAATTAAAAATATTCTTATCTGGCCTTCCTAATCCCAAGCACTGTGGCATATATAGTTACCCATATGCAATACCATTTATGGAGCTCTTACATTGCACTAAGCTTCAGGCTTAGCACTTTGCACGCATTACCTCATTTTCTTTAGGGACTCCAAAAGTGCCATCAGTGAAGAGCTGTTTGGTCTACCAGAGAGGGTACCACTTCCACTTTTCATGGCAGCCCTTTATCCACCTATGGGTCATGAATTATACTAGGCACTGGTGAGTGTGTGTGTGTGTGTGTGTGTGTGTGTGTGTGTGTGTGTGTTGCCTTTGAAAACTTTACAGAAATAGGTTCTGCTAGGTAAAGGGAGTACTACTTGGCCTGAATGGTCATTTAAGGCATGAACTAGAATGGGGCTCATGATAAGAATGGAGGGGAGATCATTCAGGTGGCTCTGGCTTCTCTTCTAAAGTCATTGCTATACTTTGTGATGTATCTTCCAAATACATACTTAATACATACATACATACATACATACATACATAACAAATATGTACATAAATTCCATATGCTTTGTGATATATCTTTTTGGAGAAGTTTTACATTGAAAACCCCTTGTCATCTTCCCAAGCTCAGTACAAATCTTACTACCTCCAGAATCCTACTGAACTTCCTCAAGTAAAAATTTTGAGACAAAACAATTCCAGGGGATGTTTGAGGAACTGAAAGAAGGTCTCTGTGGCTAGAATATAGTGATATAGTGGTATGGGAAGGATTTATAGATGTGGGAAAGGAAGAGCATCAGATTATTCAAGGCATATGAAAT